GTTGTGTCTTCCGGTGTACTCCAGGAGGTGGAGCAGCTGGATCTGGTCTAAGTGGCGGATTTACGTTTGGATCGTTGCCGTCAGGGAGTGTTCCTGGCATGACAATGAATGTACCTGGCATGAACTATTCGCTACCGTTTAAAATGGACAAGGCGCCGAAGATGAAAGGCAGCTTTGACCTGTACGCTGTGCACTTGCGTACATTCCTAACACGGATGGGATGTTGGGATGTAGTGGATGGATCGTTTAGAACTGCGGCTGTGCGGATGATGAACTTTAATGCAAAGGATAACGCAGCTCGCGAGACGATTCTGTCAGGTATGTCTGGTCAAGATGCAGAGATGATTTGTCAGGAGCCTACCGCAGAAGCGATGTGGAACCGGTTTGTGGATCGACAAACGAAGCGCGAGTATTCGAACTACATATTTGTACGCGCTGAGTTCTATTCGAACTTTTACACTCCGGAAAAGTCCATGGAAAGTTGGCTACGCGAAATGGAGAAATTGCGTCGGAATCTACTGCACTATGGGAAGGAGATTGATGACGCTGACTTTGCAGAGACTTTGCTTGGTCACGTTTCACACACGCACCGCGATGTGGTTCGGCAATTCTCTAGGCACTATGTTGTTGGTGGAGATGCTGAAAAGAGTAAGAGACCTGTGCCTACTGCGACTCAAGTGATGAACGCGCTGCGTGCCGAATCAGCCCTTGATGAGAAGATGGGAGCTGAAGAGGAGAAAGCTGCTGGTGTCGCTGCGTTTGGCAAAGGCCAGAAGCAAGGGAACGGCAAACACAAGAGAGGCGGTCGTGGTAAGAGCAAGTCAAAAGACCAGAAAGAAGACAAAGGTAGGAAGATGGAAACTCGTACTTGTTATGGATGTGGTGAAGTTGGCCACATTCGTCTCAACTGTCCGAACAAGAAACGAAAGGAAGATGACGATGATAACTCTTCCGATGATCGTGCCGCTGCTGTCGGACCGAGAGTTCACTCTGCTTCATCGGAGCGTAAACGATAGGAGAGCAAAGGCAGCAAAAGCGAAGATCCAAGCGAAGGAGAGTGGAAGCTGTTGGTTGTATTTCACGTGAAAGTTTAATAATTGGATCCGTGAAAAACAGCACTGGTGGTGTCGTTGAGTGGGCATTGGACTCGTCTAGTGATGCTCATGTCTGCAACCAGCAGAATCTCATGTCTAGTCTACAGAAGGACACTGAACATGTCTTTCAAGCGTATGATGGGAAAATTAGTGACGATGAACGGACTGGCAACGTTCATTTGCGTGTGGTGAATGACAAGCAACCGCATCAGGAAATGTCACTGCACTTTAAGAATGTTCTGTACAAACCGAATGCACCAGATAATTTGTTGAGTATGGATTTACTGGAAAAAGATGGATGGACAGTGAAGTTCGGCAGACGTGATTCGCAGCGAGTCGCATGGCTAACGAAGGACCGTGTGCAGATCTTGTTGACGAAGTTTCGCAGCCGATATCGCTTGAAGGCTAAAGTTAGTCCAGTCTATCGAGTTCCAGCGGTGCAGCATCTCAAACGTCGAGATGATGGTGATTCTCTCGTACGTTGGCATTTACGGTTTGCACATTTGAACACCCCGACCAAAAGACACATGGCAAGGCGTCAAGTCGCAACAGGAATGAATGAGAAGTTGTGCGATGATGTTGACGAGCCGTGTTGGAGTTGCAAGTCGGCGAAGTTGACTCGTATGTCCTACAAGAGGACCAACACACGCCGAGCAACGAGACCATATCAGAAGTTAATGTCGGATATGCGCCATGTCAATATTCCGACGTACAATGGATTCAAACACTTCCAACTTGTGCAAGATGAAGCTAGTCGCTATCTGTGGGGCTTCCTACTGAAGGAAAAGCATGAAGCCACGGATGTTGTGATAAATCATTTGAAATGGCTTCTAGCGCAAGGAAACAAAGTTGAAGTTTTCAACTCTGATCAAAGACGTGAACTGCTCAATCAGAAGATGCGTTCATTTCTCCGTGCTAATGGTATTGAGTACACGTGGACTAATACGTACAGCCCGGAGGAGAATGGGCTTGTGGAG